TAAAGGAAATAGGATCTGAACTTGTTGCTATCAAGTTTTGAAGTTTTTCTGTGAACGTGCGATAACTGGTCAGCCTTTTTATGCAATTAAGTCCAATTAGATTAATTTTATGAGTAAGTTCTATTTAGTTGATGCGCTTGCCTCGCCGACCGAAGTAGGTTAGAAAATGAACAGCGTTCCTGCACTGGAATTGATTTGATTTGATTTTTTTTTTTTTTTTTTTTCATTCTCAGGAAATAGTAAACTATATATATCAATATTCATAACAGATAACATCGCTCAAGTTTCTCATTTGGGTTATGTTCAACTGCACTAGAAAAAATCTTCAGTCCAGAAAAAAAGGAAAACAAAGAAAGAGAACGACATCATTATTCAAATGGAATGGTAAAAGATGGGCAGAAATGAGGCTTTACAAAGTCAATGGCATCCTCAGGAGCAACTTTATTATTAAGTAATTTGTTCAAGGGAGGAAGCTACCCCTACGTAGGACTGTTTTAATGGCTTGTTTAGATGTCCAAGTAAAAGTAGAGTTGTCCATAATTGAAGGGCTGCTGCTGTTATGTAAAATAATTGGGGCGGCATTTGCCATGTAATCAAATCCTTAGAATCCTCAAATCCTTCAAATCCTTTGAAGTTTATTTGACTTTGGATATGAATAAGAATCCAACAGACCCATGGGCAGCACCTCTGCATACGCCGGCCTCGCGCCCGCTAATAGCTAAAGCTCTTGGGTTTCTCACATTTGGCAGACAGCGAAAACTGGAGAGGAGGTTTGGTAAGTAAATCAAACAATCGATCAATCCACCTGCTGCCTGTTGCATTTCCTTTATGAGTTAGTTGCTTTGATCTCTCTGTTTCTCTATTTTGATCTTGTCTTGCTAACCGCTGACTTGGATCTCCTGTATCTGAATAAAAAGCTTGATGAAATCTCATCTCATTAGGTTACAGCTCTGATTTTGGATTTTGCCCAACCAAAGTATTCAATCCAAAATTGATTTTGGACTCTTATGTTTAAAGCAAGAAGCATTCCTGAATTACATATAATATTCTGTGAGTGAGATATTTGGTTGGGATTTTATTATTGGACCTCTTGAAATGAGAATTGATAAGAAACCATAATTGATTGATAGACTTGATTTATTTTAAAATCACGTTTGTTTTTGGGGTGTGTCACCCCCTTTATTATTCACCAAAAAAGAGTTAAAAACAGAGAGAGAAATCATCAGCAGTACACAAATGAAATGAATGGATTTAAAGAACCGTGTCGGGTTGAAACACAAGCAAATCAATTAGGTTTCAGAGAATGTTTTTTGAGAATATTTTCAGAGAATGAAAACAAGAAAACAAATTTGCATTTTTAGGAAATGAAAATGTGTCTGGTAGATAATTAGAAAATATTTTTAGAAAACAAAAATAATGAAAACGTGTTTGTTAATACAATTGTTTTTCATGTGTATTTTTGCTAATTTCAGTTCTAATTTTTTTTAAAAAAAATTCTGATATTTTTAGAGGCTAAAATTATTATAAACAATGAAAATATGTCTAGTAGTAAAAATTGAGAATAATATTATGTGAATTATTTTTCAAGGGTATTTTTGCTAATTTCTGTTTTGAGAAAATATTTTTAAAAATGTATAATTTAACAAATGAAAAAATTCTATTGTTTTTTTATATCTTTTATCTCCTTTCTTTTTTTTTTTCTCCTTTTTCTCCTTTTCTTTCTTTCTTCCTCTTTTCTTCCTCTTTCCTTCCCAGACCCATTCCTTTTTCTTTCCTTCTTCCTCTTCTCTACTACCATCTCTTTTCTTCTTCCTTCCCTCTTTTTCACTCTCACTCCTCCTTCCTTCCATTACATGAATCCCATCAATCCACCTCTCCGGTTCCACTAATTAATGGTTGTGGTGGTTAGATTGGGTGGTGATGGTGGTTGAGCTGAGTATGTGGTGACTGGTTTCTCTCATCTCTCCCTCTGCAACTCTCTCTCTCCCTTTCCCTTATTCTCCCTCTTTCTGATTCTCTCTTCTTCTTCTTCCCCTTTTTTTTCTTTTCTCTTCCTCTGTCTTTTTTTCTTAGTTGCAGATTTGTGTGATAATGAGTTTTTTTTTTCTTGAAATTTTGGTGCTGATTATGGTTGGAAGGAGGAGATTTGATTGTTTTGGATATAATTTGATTAGATTGTTTGCTCAAGTGACGGAGGAGAGTTGGCTTTGATTCGGAGAGGCTGAAAACAAAAATGCCGAAAACAAAAACGACTTTCTAGCGTTTTCAACATTTATTCATACTTTCATTTTCATTCTCAGAAAACAATTTCAGCTTGTTTCTCAAAACAACCCACCAAACACGTTTTCACGTGAAAACAGAAAACAAAAACAGAAATTGCCCTTGAAAATGATACCGAACGGGCCCTTAATAACTACAAATAAACTTTCTTTTCCTTTCTTTTTTTTTTCATTTTTTCTTTTCAATTTTTGAGGATCAGGATCAAGGCGTACACGAAGACGAAGTAGCTCGACTAACTTTATAAGATTGCTGTAACTGTGTAACAGATACATCTCAAGAAAACACACTGCCATCTTTCTAAATGAAATATCTCCCTCTACCCTCTCCTCCTCCCCACATGGTTTTCAATAAAAAATAACAGAACCACATGGGCACATCCCTCTTCTTACACAAGTCAAAAGAATAGCTCGCGATAAATGAGCTGCTCATCTCAATTCAAAACCCAATTTTCACCATCCCAACCAACCTGCATGAGTTTAACAACAAACTACTACGATATACAATTTTACAAACTATACCAACCAGATCCCATCCGCCACTCCTTCCTATGCTTTGCTGAGAAGAATACATATTACCCTCAGCCAGGGTCCAGAAGCAATAACATTATAATTGTAACTGCCCCGCCGCCCTCCTAGATCTCGAAGCAGGCCTATTCACATCTGATGAAGAAGTTCTGCTGAGTTCTTCAGGTCTTTGCACATCCTGCATATACACCAAGAAACAACGTAATTCCAACACACAAGTCGAAGCTTTAGAGGCACAATATGGGAGAAAATCAAACCATTACATAGCAAGTATGACTGTATGACACCATATAACTATAATAAGTTGCAGTTTAATAAGAAAAAGGAAAAAGTAAGAACGGGCTATCTGAAGAAATGTTTGCAGCAGGTGCCTGCCAATACAGCTCCCACATAACATTTTCCAAAAACACACTCATCAAGATGCCACTAAATCTCACCAGCAATGTTAATATCCCAAGGAAGAAACTCAACAAACCTTTGGTGTTGAAGATGTTGTCGAATTTCTGTGTGATTGTGCCTGCACTTTCGCATGCTGACGATGCTGTCGCTGCATTTGCTCAAACTGCTGTAGTCTTGAAGCAAAGTTGATTCCATTATGTGAATTCTTACTGTCCTGGTTTATGTCGCCATCTTCAGTTATCTGTGAGCCACCTGGCATGTGATGTAGGATTTGATAGGGATTCCCCGAAGAAGTTCGCCTGAGTTGCTCACCATTAAATGAGTATGAAGGTACAGTTTTCAAACGAGTCCGTAGGATTTTAAAGGCGGCACTTTGCTGCAATCAAGAATCAAATGAAGCTTAAACACATTACAAATACCAAGATGATTGCTACTAATCACAAAAAAACAGAACTCTCATAAGGCACAGTTTGGACGATTGCTACTAATCACAAGAACCAGAACTCTCACGAGGCACAGTTTGAAGTAGTTTCGAGATAAATTTAAGGTCTGATCTCAATGATTGATGATTAATGATTAATGCTTAATAGTATTTTTAAATTTTTAACATTGAATACTATCATTTGCCACCACCAGGAAAGATATCGGAACAAGAACTTACTGAAAGGTTCACCCTCAAATAGTTTCCAAAGAGGGTTCAGAAGAAAAACGAAAGGTAAAACAAGGATCTTTGAACTACATGATAGCCAAGATAAGTAAACAACACTATCTTCTATTTATTGGAAAAAGAAAACTACTCTTTTACTTCTGACTTCCTAATATAGAGAAAGCAAAAGTTATAAACAGGGGATTTAAGACAACATCATGCTTGCAGTTGTATAGAGGAAGAAGAAGGAAAATGAAGAATTCTTAGTTTATACCTGGGGAAGCAACATCAGAAGACCATACAAGGCTTTTAACAACCATACATGTCTTCCAGGTTCAAGAAGCTGCAAGAACCAAAAGACAGCTAAGTCACTCAACATTAGATCTCAATTTGAGAAAGCAACGCAGAAAACACAAAATGGTAAAAAGCAAACAGGCATTCTGTACAAAACTTGCAATAAAACATTTTTTCTTATTTTGCCAAATGATAAACTTGACACGAAACATTTAAGCGTAACCAAAATGGGAAGCTCATTTTCTCTCCTTAAACTCCAATTCATAAAGCTGACTTTGAGAAGAGTGCGAGGCCACTCCTTGAGAGAGAGAAAGAGAGAGAGAGAAAGCGAGAGCAGCTAATGTAGTACTTTTCAGTGCAGAACAAAGGTTAAAAATATGGCAATGATATAAGAAATACATTTCAATACTGCACCTGTAATCTAAGATATGCGAAGATCGGAGTTTCTAGTAACCGAATCAATTTATCCAACTGGACCAAAAATTTCACATTAATATCTTCCTCCACCAGAGACTGAACCACAGTACTCGCATGCTGATATGTCTGTCAATAAAAACATGTTCATGAAAACAGAACAAATGTTCACATGCAAACAGAAATTTTTAAATCAAAGGGGTATCCATGGGTGACAAAGCTCTAGAACCTCACCTGAGCTAATAAGCAGAGGCTTATAATTGCCATGGGTGAGTGGCACCAAGAAGCATATAAAGAAACAAACAAGTCTTTCCCAAAAGGATTTACAAGTGAATGTTTCAAAAGATCTCGAAGCTCAGACAGCTCGGAGGATGTAAGTAAAATCAAGTTCAAAGCCTGAACAAGGAAAAGGAACACAGGGATAAATAAAGATTATGCTGAAAAGAACACATAAGAAAGAACTGTTGAATAAAGCATACGACTATAAAATAAATAAAATCATTTTAGACAAATTGGTCTTTTTAATGCCTCGGTCATAATAAACAGTTTTAATTCTAGCCACTAGGAAGTATAAAACCATTTCAATTACAAATCATATCACATGCAAATAATTGCTTCATTATATGGTTACTTGTGCACATATTACTTTATGTTGTGCGATAACAACCTGAACCATAATAGATGCAAAATCCAGGTCTGACTCTCCTTCTAGTATAGTAGACAGTTCTCGGTATACCCTTTCAGCATCTAAAAGCACACAAAGTCGCCGAATTATCAAAGCACCACGCCTTGGGGAAAAGAATGAAAAGAAAGGGCAGAGTCAAAATAAAAAACACATTATCATAGATACAATTGAAAATACTAGCTAAAGGACCAGGAGGAGGAGGGGAGAGAGAGAGAGAGAGAGAGAGAGAGAGAGAGAGAGACTCACTTCTCTAGAAGAGAGTTATCTACACGGAAATTATGCACGAGGAACACGACAAGCTGGCGGAAGTGTTGTGGATCTTGTGCTATGCATGCATGAACTTCAAGGACCAGGAGAACCACCTGGACATAAATCCAGACTCGCAACATTATATACCCAAATAAATGCTGTTCAATATGTCTCTGTGCAATTAGGTTTTCATTTATGCATGCTTGGACATCATAAAGTAATAAATAAGCTACATTCTGGCATACTAGGAGACAGCTCACAATGGATAACTACAGAGGATATCTGGTAATAGGAAATAAAGTATTACATGAAGACACTATAATTTTATTTTTTATTTTTACTTCTCAAAGAAAGTTCAAAATGCCTCTGGAAAAATACATAAATAAAAGAATAATTCACATCAGTCAGCAGAAGATACTTGCAGAGCCCAAGGAGACTTCAATAAAGGTAGTAACAAGAGTATTATTTAGTGCATGACAATGTACCACATGAAATCACAAGCGTCTGAGATAATTGATAGTACTCATAATTTCAGCCGCTAAACTCCCATTATCCTCATCCATCGAACCAAACAAATGAAAAAATGGCAACTCACACTTATTAGAAAAGTAGAGAAAATGTTAAAGGATAAACCCATTATGATCAATATACACTGAAACTATAAAAACAAGAAGAAGAAACGCTTTAAGTTTCACAGAAGCAAGTTCTTAGAAGAATCATTTCAATTTCTCTCACCATATTCCTAACAGCCAATTTCTGAACGAAATCCGCCAGGGCTAACTCTCTCAACTCTTGGTAACCAATCACTATTGGCGATATACATTTTAGAGTAGCTTTCTCTCAGCAGTACTGTTTTTCAATCATCTTTTTAACTTTGAGAACCTCAACTAGTAGTCAATCAACAGATCGAAAGATCCATGTGAATCATAATTTGAACATAATAACTGAGAAAATGGTGACGGTTGACAATAACACAAAAAATAAAAAATAATCACCAATCGAACTCATGCGACCAAATAAAGATTAGAAAATACATCTTGAAACAATAAAAGAAAAAGATCCATCAGACTAAAAGGATTACCTGATCAGAAGGATCTGAAAGTGCTTCTAAAAGGGTGTCAAATATGTCGTTCAGAAAAGTTAAAACCTGTTTCAGGTAAAAATTAAAATAAAATATTTCTGACAAAAAATACAGGCAAGGACAAACAGTAATCGATATATAACTAGCAATGAACTAAGAATTATTAACCAGGCTGTGAATCAGTAATAGAAATTTTATATTACAATTTACACAGAGGCATAAGTTATCCAGTTTAATTTTGAAAAAAGTTCAATACGGAACTCCCCTGAATAAACATTACACTAGGTTCAAAATCATGCAACTAGAAGTGCGTGCAATTAGAAAAGTGCCCAATTACCTCAGCACGATGTCTGTTTAGAAGGTTTGAAATCCAGTGCAATGCTTCAATTCTAGTAGCCTCCCATTCACTAGATAATTGCCTGATCAGAAAAAATTTCCCAAATCACCACAAATCCTCCAGCATAACAATAGAGCAAAAGGATGAAAAATGCAACTTAAGAATGGACGTTTCTAATAGCTCCACAACATGCAGCCGTACTATATATGCAGCCGTACTATATATACCCATGAAAGAAAAGGGCATATTCTAATAACATATCACCCTAGGTTGTTTTGGTTAGAAAAACTACACCTCCTTGCAATAGATAGGATTGCTCCAACATCAAATCCTTCAGCTGGATCAGCCTTAATGGCACGAAGCTCTTCATTGGTTTCACGAGCAACCTTTAGGTGATGGGAAAGAAAAATAAAAGAATTCAGTGAAAGTAACTCCCAGAAGCAATGAAATCAGGAAAAACACAACCCCTCCGCCCCTCCCCCAACCCCCAAACCAAAAATAAGAAGAAAAAAAAGAAGAGGGAGGAAATTTAACCAACCACTCTAATTTTCTCTTCTTTATCAGATATGCAGGGTAAAATCGCTCCGAGAATATCAGCATAATAGGGAACAAGCTGGTCCCCACCAAGCTTTACGAACTCATTTATCTGCATAGCAAAGAATCACATACAAAAGACTATCAAGCAAAGCATTGCTTTCATGAGAATATCGAGAACATCATCCATACAAACCCTATGACAATGATAGCAATGAGTAGGCAGAAAATACCCATGTGATAGCTGTTAACCGAGTAAATTCATCCGGTGAAGCAGCCCTCTGTACCAGTATTTCAGCCATGCGACCATAATCTACAGACTTGAAGAGTAGCACTGCTCGAGTCAGAAAATTACAAATGAACAAGATATATAGTTTTTAGATTCAGAAAAAGGGGGGAAGCTAGCTATATGTGTGTGTGTGCGTGTGTGTACATTGGGTAGAGGCGCGGGGTAGGGGGTGGGAGGAATCACTGGCACAGGTTCTCCAAAAGTAACAAAAAAAAAACACACACACAACAGACATTATTGCAGGATTGGTGGATTAACAGTTAGAAGTCTTACTGGGGAGTTCTTGATCTCTTGGAGAAACTCTGAAAGTGCTGAATCAGCTTGTTGTCTTATCTCATGGCTTGAATCACTTAACATATTAAACAAGCCTGATATTTATAAGCAAACTGTAAGTTCATATCCAATTACCAGACAAGATTTGAAATGAAGAAGCATATAATTTTTACTATGAAAAACAATTACCATCAAGAAAATCAGGAAGAAATCCCAGCATATCAATATCTGGAACACTGTCTAAGACAGTGATCCATCCAACCAAAAACTGGCGGACATAGGGATTTAGGACATTCATACGCTCCCTCAACAATGGTATAAATTCTTCAATGCTGCCGAAGGGAAAGAAACAGACAAACAAAATTAAATGTAAATGTTGTATTATGTCTTGAGAGTCACAAATCCAGATCAAGAATATTACGCACCTGAATTGATCACTTTCAGTGACAATATCCTGCTTCAGTATATAAAAAGAATTAATATAGAAAAAATAAATGTCTATCTTGAAGACAATCAATTGAAAAAAACCAAAGACCCTTGCTTTCGATTTTCCTTTCTGTAGATGAGGAAGGAGGTTAAATTACCTTTACAAGCCGATCTAAAAGATGAGCAGCACTTTGTACGTTAGCATCTGAGTCTGCTGAAAGCTTACACAAGGCATCAAATATCTGATTAAAGAATATGATAAAATCTCCTCTTACAACCTGAGAACCAGAAAAATAAAACAAAATTATATCAAGCCCAAGTCAGGGAAACAGAATAATAAATTAATAAGTCAGCCACCTAATCTGCTCACCTTTGCAATGTTATATAGAGCTTCACAAGCATAATAACGAACTCTGCTATCTTGGTCAGAAAAGGAATTAAGCACAGGAGGCACAATTTGCTGGCAAGATAAATCAGAAGCAAAATAAATACTCAATACCAATAAAGAAGAATTTGGCATTTAATTGAGTCAGAAATGAAATAGCTTTAAAACTAGTACTTTCCAGAAGGAAAGAAGCTAAACTTCGAGATGGACAGCTTAATATAGCTGACATGGGACCATTCTATATTCTCATAAGCCAGCAATCAACTCAGTTAAGGGATGCACAAAGGGAACTTTCAAAAGGATTACAAGTTTACAACATTGCATAAAGTGTTGGCATCTCTTACATGTCCAATATGATTTAATTCGTAAGTTACAAATATTTCTAAATGACTCACTTCATAATTATGAACGGAATTGCTCCCTCAATGTAATGCCTCATTTGTAACTACATGACTGTTTTCTTAATAAAACCTATGTAAATTTAAAATTAAATATCAACTTCAAAAAAAAGTTAGCCCTAGATCTCCAAATAAAATCAGAGAGGATGATTTCATAAGCCATTTAAACTTATTTAAGAAAAAACCAAGATTGATATTGGTTTACAAGCCAAGGCATAAGTACAATCTGCAAAGCAAAAAGTCGTAGAAGGAAACTAACTTCAAATTCTGTGTGTCAGATAATGAGACACCGTACACAGTGGGCCCATAAAACATTATGTATATGTTGGAATTCCATCGCCAGGAAAATAAAAAACTTTAACATCTTATCAGATCAGTCTTCACTTCCACCTATTGGAACACACTACAGCAAAATTATCCTGGGTAAAAGGTCAGTGTTTTAGTCATCTAGAGTGAAAGCTTAGCACATTGTGCTAGTTTTAACTAGCAAAACTAAGCATCCTATTTGTAGCCCTTGCTATATACTACCTCATGAAGGTTAACTGCACACGTGACTACCAAAATTCAAACCAACCTGGCCACAATACGTTAAAGATTTATACAAAAACTTGATTTCTAAAGAAATAAATAAATAACGCCTTACCTCAAGATGTTGAGCCGCTTCACTGGTCAAACCAACTGTCGCAGCAGCTAATCCTATCAATCCTCCCTATGCAACAAAAAGAATCAAAATTCGCGCATCTGAAGAGAGAAACTTAATCAACATGGAAAAATAGAGCCACGCAAATTGAACTTCCAACTAGTCTGCCAAATTAAATAACTTATAAAGCAACCCACTGGCAAACATTCACACCAATACCTTCCGGTGATTCGCTTGTGGCGAATTAGTGAATTCCGTAGTGAGCAAATTGATCACCGCCGTAATCTTATCGTGATCCCCAGCCGTTGTGAGCTGTTTCACAATTCCCTCAACCTATACATAAACGCCCACACATATAGAATTCAATTGAAGATCTAATTACAACCACTCGAAACTAACAAAAATGAATCGGTGCAAGAAAGAAAGACCTCAAGCGCGGCATTCTTGCGCTTTTCATAGAGCTTGTCCGCGAGGTTGCGGAGGACAGACGTCAAACCCTAGGAATTATAATTTCTGGTGTAATTGAATTCACCGATTGAAAGAAAATGAATTCGGATGTCAAATTCGTTTCCGGATCTTCTCCTGTTCCAATCGGAACATTTCTCTAGGGTTTTCGTCGGAATTGAAAATTCGGGAATTTGAAGACTCGATAGGAAAATCAGATCTGCAGAAATTGGGAATGAATCGGAAATTGAGAAAAATGTAAACACAAATTCTACGGAAGTTTTCCTTCCCTTCTCGTTTTTCTTTTTCTCTTCTTATGTCTTTTTTTTTTTTTTTTTTTTTTTTTTTTTTTTTTTTTTTTTTTTTTTTTTTTTTTTTTTTTTTTTTTTTTTTTTTTTTTTTTTTTTTTTTTTTTTTTTTGTTTATTTGATTTGGGCTCGTCTGTGCTTTTCTTTCTAGTCTCAGTCGTGGCAGTCCTTTCTCTCTCTGTATTGACTATTGAGCGATCTCGGAAGGGGCTACTAACAGAGGTTGGAAGTCTGGTTGTTATGGAAAGACGGATATACCCTCACATTTTATAATTGCAGATCAGTTTGAAAATGTCTATATTTGGTATCTGGACTAGTTCATAAAATAAAAAAATTTATTCTAAATCTGCCCAACCCCACGACTTAATCTAGCTTGATCTGTTATGTCCTCGATTGTAAGTTATAATTCATAACCACGATTTGAGTAGTCAGATCAGATTTCAATTGAACTTAGACTCCAAAATACTGTCATATACTTAGAAGCCGTTTGATAATCATTTCAATTTTAGTTTTTAATTTTCAATTTTTGTATTAGAGTATGAAGGAAAATAAAGAGATGGACACATTACCCTAATCAATTGGCCTAACTCAAATTTATCATACTTTCCAGTTTGATCGAAATAGTTCAATCATTCTTCATGAAAAAACAAATAGTTCAATTATTAAGATAAGCTGACCCATAAATCTACTTGCAATTATTATTCAAATCAATCTTAAGATAAGATGACGATGCCTCACCATTTCCGACTGTAGTCTTTTCTCTTGGGGGCCATCTAATCCTAGTAGTTTTTTTTGTCATATCACAAGTCATCTAATCTCAGCAGTGATACCATTTATAGTCTTTTTTCTTTCTAAAATGCCGCTTGCTTTCAAACCAAAACAAAAAACAAAAAACAAAAAAGAAACCAAGGAAAAAGGTTTCACATTTTTCATCTTAAATTAAATGAGCAAGTCCATTAAAATAAAAATAATAAAAAAACAGAAACGACCAAAGACTATTTAGCTCCTTGGTAACTGGGTGGAACGAGCACCTTTAGCAGGCACAAAGTTTTGATGCAAGGCCACACGCATAACATCCATAAGTCGCTGCTGCAGCACAATGCATAGTCGCTCTATAGTGAGGGCCTTATCTAGGCCCTTAGATGAGGCTCTATTTCTTAACTGTTAAATCAAACTAACCAATGTGATCCAATAGGTAACCAATTTGATCTAATAGTTGACAGATAGGCTTCATCTAAGGGACTATAGAATTTCACGCACAATGCAACAATGCTGATAAGCCCATTATCAGACATTGTTCCCAAATCAACTTAGATGAGCTTTGTTCCCAGATCAACTTAGATGAGCTGGCTACAACTACTCTGGACAAAGACGAAACTAGCCTATTATTTCATCCTTTTCCAAATAAATCCAGTCAACACTCCATCCAGTCAACACTCCCTTTGAATAATAGAGTCTGTTTTGCACAAAACTACATGACGCATTCAATAATGAAATTATAACATTTTTTTTATTTTTGGAAAATGTTATACATGTAACAAGAAAAATTTCATACAACACCATATATGGCACGATGAACAGTAAAAAGGATCAAAAACGATCAAAAGAAAAGGGACTTATCAGTGACTCTTCGAGTTCTCGAAAGCCATGGAAAACAGCTTCAGTCTGGCTCTGTGAAAGGGCTAACCTCCGTACCTCAGTCATATACCTGGAATTCCAAGTTCAAAAGGAACAAATCATACACTCAAACTCTTAAGAATGTTTAGGGAAGGAAATGCTCAGATTGGATTATTTTTTCTACATTTTCTTTTGTTGTATCGGAGGAACCATCAACTTGTGAGGTCACAATTCTTTTCTCCTAGTGCATACAAAGCATGAAAAGATATACACATCACAGTTCACATTTGAAATCCTAGACTTGTCCACATGACTAAATGGAAGTGGTGAGACACTGATCACCACCTGCACGTTATTGATTCATTTGAAAACAAATGACAGGGTATATTTGATTGTATAATGGGGTATATTTCATCCATCACAAAAGGATTTCATGCAACATCTAGAATGATCCAGAGTTTTTTAAGCCTTGATCTTGGCACAAAGAAGATTATAAAACAGCAAAGGTACAAAATCTGCATATTGGATCAGGTATTTTATAGACGTAAATATTAAATTGAGCATAAAGCAAACAAAGAACGCTGTTTGTCGCAAACAAGAACAATAAATAAATAAGCTCACCTGTTTGCTGCACTTGAGATCTTATCTCGAACCCCTTGGTTAATCCCTGATGTTTGCTCCAGTGAAAATGTTCCACCTAGAATTAAAGAAGCTCCAGTAGCACTTGTACCCATTCTTTGTGCAAACACAGACATTGCCCACTCTCGAAGTACAACTAATACTGATCGTAGAAGGCGTAACCTAAGGTTTGGTGATGGCAAAATAGCACCACTCGTCAACAATTGGTCATAAGTGTTCAATACGGGCTCAATTGCACCCTTGCAAGCAGCAAGAAGAGCCCTTGCCACATCTTCATCTCCAACAGATTCAACCCCTGATTCCAGTCTTTCCTACAAAGAGATGAAATAAAATAAATTGATCAGGTAACAATTTTTTTCTTCTTCCGGTTTTTAAGTATTTTTAAAGCTGCTTATTCGTGTGTGTGTGTGTGTGTGCGCATACGGATATGTAAATATATAGATATAATATCAATATAGGTAGTGTGCATGTGTCTCCAATATACCAGTGCAGCTTTCTCGAGGTGGAGACACAGTGTGTCTAAGGGCAAACCAGCTCCATCTCCAGGATAAATGTGAGAACCAACTCTCTTCAATACCGAACAAGCTTCAGCAATGCCACCCCTTGAAAGAGCTTGATCAATTAATCTGGCCCAAGTATCTCTTACAACGCTACTATCAGCATCACCAGAATAGTATGCAAAGTATAGCATTTCTAGACATATCTGAGCACAGCAGAGACAAGAAAAAATTCAGTTATAAATAAAAACTAGAATTTCCCTAATTTTGTTTTGTGGTAAGGTTCAATGAGAAATAATAGCAATCACTGGCAAGCAAGAGAAATAAAGTACCTCCCAAAGTTCAAATGGAAGAGCATATTCATTGTATAGCTGAGTTATACTCTTTAAATCTAATGACAGCTCTTTGGCCTTCTCTCGTGCAATATTTGCAAGATTGGCATCACCACTCAAAGTGCTATTGGGAACAGTTCCACTTTGGACAGGCTCAGATGCACCAGGCAAAGCTTCTATCCTGGAAGCGGAAGCCTCAAGTTCCTCCTTGATCTTTATCTGAAAACGAAGGACAGCAAGTTTTCCTTCCAACAAATCTAACAACCCATCATCATACGCACCTCTGGTAGAACCTACCAGGCCTTCACTGTTACTTGCATTTTTAGCCTGTAGGACTGCATTACTTAGGTAATGATACCTGAAATCCATTATTACCAGTGAAGGGGATCAGGAATTTTTTTCTACAGACGAGTTTGACTAATATCCAGCCTTGGATGGGTTGGGTTTATTTTTTAAGACGACAAGTTCAAAAATCCTTTTGAGTAGATGAGGAACCTTAGGTCAACCTGACTTTGGAAAGCATTTCTTATAAAGCGACTCAAACCAAGAATGTTATAATCAGATATTGATATCAAATCTATATAAGAATTAGTTTACATGTGGTCAAATTAATATAGAATTCAGTAAATATAGACATTACTATGGAAAGATCGTATGTGGTCAGGATTATTAAATGAGGCACTAGAAACTCCCAAACGAAACTAGAATATTGGTAGGTGATAATGGAATTCATAAAAATGTCAAAGACATACCAACCCAAGCATGAAGAGATACCGGACAAAAAGAAACCCCACAAATTATTTAGCTAGATTTTCTGGTAAAATAAAATCATGGTAAGGTGTTTGAAAAAGGATCCCCCAAAACTCCACAAAAAATTAAGGAAGACTGAATGAATATATGCTAACCTTTGATCTAGAGTAGGAACATCCCCAGAATCAGTTGAACGCCTCTCTGCCAGTCTTAGTAATACATGAGCTGCAAGCAGATGCTGCCTCTTCAAGACATAATATCGTGCCAACAGATCAGAATATTTGGCTTGATTGGATGGGATGGCTGTTCCTGAGTAACTAATTGGAGAAGCGGCCGATGTGACCGCAGAAACAGCCCGAACCTACAAACATGGAAGAAACATCAGGATAACAAAAGAAGGAAAAGCATTAGCACCAAGGAAAGATATTGGTTAAGACCAGATGGAAGACGTTCCAGCTGTTTTTTGAAAGCATTTGTCCGATCATATTTTGAAGCATACTAAGAGAATCTTGACAATTGAAATTCATCATATCAGATCCAAAACAAAATAACATTAAAAAAATCACCTCTTGTATAGGTTCACAGCCAGCACTTTGTAGGAAAGGCACCAAATCAGGACCTCCATACTCCAGCAACTCATTCTCAAGGCCCATATCAATCATAGCACGGTACAAGTACTTGTGAAATAATCTGTCAGGAGATTGGATGCCCAGCTGAACAATCTGGGATATATATTTGTTCCGAGAGACCGGATCAAGGGCAGATCGCATAGCAGCAGGCCTAAGAGGAGAACCAAACTCCCTCTGTGAAGGCTCACCTTTTAGAGAACGCAATGCACTGATGACAATCTCATAGCACTGTTCACGTTGAGCACGTGCATGCTGTCGGACTGCTGCATCAATTTGGTCACTAAAAGCATCACCTGCGGGGTCAAGAGCCTGTGCCTTTTGTAAAGGCAAGCGAACCACGGCTTCATAAAACCTGCAACATACTCATTTTTAGGTTTTACACATAACGACCTAACTTACTAAGCATATACAACCACGGCTTCATAAAACCTGCAACATACTCATTTTTAGGTTTTACACATAATGACCTAACTTACTAAGCATATACAACCCATCAAACAGCACCGAGCTTAACCATAAGAAACTGACCTTAAATCCTCAAATCGTTTGCAGACAGTTCGTAAATCAGCAGATTCTGGAACTTTACTCAAAAAATTGAAGGCCTCTCTAGCAAGATTCTCCTTCTCCTCAGGATCTGGAATCACAGCAGCTCTCTCAAGACACTCCACAGCTAGAAAAAACTTGTAATCAGACTCCTTATAATAGCTTGGACAGCCTTCCCGTAATCTCCCACTAATATCATTTACTGCCCCCCTGCCATCAGGTCCAGTATAATACTGGAGCAATGAATGACATGAAAATAATGACATTTCAGACTGAAGTCAGATTAAAAAAAACTGATAAACAAGTGAGGGGAAAAAGGGAAAGTTTGCTAAATTTCTAAAAAGTGAACTTCCTCAATGTTAAACTAAAATTGCATTACCTCCATCAGAGCAGATATGAGCCTTGTAGCGAGGTGGTCACCCTCCTCAGAACAAACTAACTGATGAAATGTCATTTGAACTAATG